TTATTTTAGTACCTTGTTCGAAATTTAAACGATGAGTACTAAACTGAAACAAAAGCTAAACGTTAGGTATGATTTTGAAAAAATTGAAAGTTTAGGTAATAAAACGGATCAAAACTTATAGTTTAGGTACTAAACACGTTGAGTTTTTAACGACGAGTACTAAAATGAAACAAAAGCTAAATGTTAGGTATGGTTTTGAAAAAAAATTAAAAGTTTAGGTACTAAAACGGACCAAAACCGATAGTTTAGGTACTAAACGTGTAATTTACCCAAAAATTTTATATAAATATATATTTTTTGTATTACGTGCAGTGTGTGTATAGATAAATCAGAGTTAAATTTGAATTTCATTTAATTTGGCCAAACTCCAGCACTAAGCATATTCTCTGCAGATATATATGAAAAGCATATTCCATAGTAATTAAGTTTAAATGGCATTGAATTCCTGTGTCACATGACATTCTTTTCCCACCCAATTTAGCCTTCCATGTTACTATCCACTAGCATGTCATTTTCATAGCCATAAGTCAAAGATTTCCCGTCACTTTTGCATGCATTAATGGTCTAAATAAATACCAGTCTTTCTTCTGTAATTAATCGTTATTAGTCATGAACCAAACGATCTCGGTGTAAAGGAGTTGTTGTTATTCGTCGAGGTCCCGAGTTCGATCACCAGAAATATAAAAGGTGTGAACGTTGAATGTTAAATGATAGAAAGCTATTTAAGAACGTATAATGTCTTGTACTTGCTTCAAATTAAATATACTTGAACTTTGAAGATGAACACGATATATATATATATAATATTAGTGTACAGAACAGGATTCTGCGGTTGTTCTTTGTGCCTCCACTTTGAAAGAATGAATACTTTCGAGTTGTCTGAAATTCCAAACTTAATACCCGATTTAAAAATAGTTGATGGGGAACAAAAAGAATGAAATAGGTCAGAGATTTAAATTATAATTGTGGTGATTTTTAACCGTGTTATATTTATCGTGATTGTATAATAGTGGATGTTATTACGACTATCGTGATTGTACAATAACAATTTCAAATAATATCTTTATTGTTATATAATAATTGTCATTTCGATAACAGACCGCTATTTAATAGTATAGATGCTAATAGTAATTTTTCATACGTAATGCATATGGTATCTTATTTTTTGTCAATGGAAGAAGCATAAAATGTATAAGAACTGGGGAATAATTAGTGTTGATCTGTGATGATTAATTAAGCCGGACTGCAACATGGTTGGAAATTTCCCACGAGTTATGGGGATGGTAGGGGTAAAATGGGAATATTTTACTTTCCAAACCTTCCCCTGCTGCTCATAGGTCCTCTTTCCATATATATAATCAACAAAGAGCAATGCTTGTGCACCAATCCTAGTACCATAGTTTTGTTTCTCTCAGTATTTTATACTCAAAGTTCAATTCTTTCCCCCCCAAAATCCAATCTTTCCTTATCTTTGATTCTGCTAAAAAAAAACTGATTTTTTTCTTCAATAATCCATTACCCAAATTTGTTTCCTTGAGTTCTTGGTTCTGAAACCTCCATTTCAGAGAGAAATATAAACATTTAGTTGCAGAGATTGTGTCATTTCTTGGAGAGCAATCCCCAGATAAAGAGGTTGTCAAAGGGAAGAAGAACCCAGAAACCAAAAAAAGAAAGAAGAAAAGAGAGTAGAGATGAGGTTAAAGGGGGAACAATTTGGTGCAGAAGGTGAGGAAGAAGAAGAGCAGAAACTTGTTGTTGGGTATGCTTTGACATTAAAGAAGAAAAAGAGTTTCTTGCAACCAGAGTTTGAGCGCTTGGCTTGGTATATTACTCGAATATCCACATCACTTTCCATATATGTATGTATGTATGTATGTTGAGTTTATGACTTTGTTTTTATGCATATTGATGTAGAAAATGGCTTTAACATGTCTGGTTTAGTATTGCATTTGGCTGTAGTTGTCTCTGTAGTGTATATATGTTATTGTATCCCTTTGTGTGAACATGTATGCATAATTTATAAATTGAGCTTTTCTTGTATCTTTGATACTTGAAAAACCAGACCAAGATCAAACTAGTCCCAGATTTTCTTTGATTCTTAATTAGGAGTATAGATGTCGAATGAGGTCGAGAGTCTCACATGGATGACTTTTATTAATTTCAGTAGTAAGGAACGTTCTGAATTGGTTATTTCTGCATTGACATTCAAGAACCTTGATTAGAATATCTTTGTGGTTGGTGCAGCAAAAGGGGGATATCGTTTGTCGCCATTGATGTGAACCGGCCACTGTCGGATCAGGGTCCCTTTGACATTATTTTACACAAGGTTAGTGCAACTTCCAACTATCTGTATGAAAAGGTTGAAGTAGTTTTATAGGTTTTCCTATCAGCAATGATTCTGGTTTTGTAGCCAGATTATAGGTTAATATTCTGTGTCTTTTGTTTATCTCAAACCTAGTAAATGACTGATGGATTTTATGCTTCTTCCAGCTGTCTGGGAAGGAGTGGATCGATATTGTTGAGGTTCGTCTCCATTTATTCGTTTTACATTGGACAAGGAATTGGATACGCAGTGCTGTATTTGAGTTACCACTGTTGCTGTGAATTGATGCCAGACATTCATCGGCCACGTTTTTGTTCAACAACAAATTCCCTTAATCTTAAACCTTTTTATTCTGATAGTATGCATAATTCTTGCTCACAACAATTGCTTCGTTTCTTGAAGTTTTGAGATTTTAAGAAGCTTTCGGGTTGTTCATCCTTGATTTCTAGTGAACACATTCATTTAGTTCATGTTGCTCGGTACACCAAGCTAATCAAACACCGCATTTTATCGAAAGTGTAGAACTTGCCTTTGCCAATTTCGGATTCATGTTCTAAGAATAAAATAAAGTGGTTGTTTTGCTTTCTGAGTCCTTTTGCCTTGCATTTCTAATGGTGATGCTGGTAGATATGTTTTACGAATATCATCCTTCTTGACACTTGATGCATGTCTTGGAGCCGGTGATTTCGGTTCTGTTTGGAGGAAATCGGTTAATTTTTATCCAACAGTTCGACGGAGCCATTCACATGAAACTGCTGAAAAACAGGAAAAGTTTTCGGAGTTATGGCATGCTGTAAAAATGGCCGAGTTTTTATGATATATATTTTATTCTTGAAGGATTACGGACAAACACATCCAGAAGTAGCTGTTATTGATCCTCCAGATGCAATACAACATGTATACAATCGCCACTCAATGCTCCAGAATGTGGTTGATTTAAACTTGTCAGAATTCGACGGTAATTGCGGTATCACTACATCAAACTATAGCAGTTGTGGGAAACATGATTGCTTGATAACCATGGCTGTTTGTTGTTGTAGGCAGAGTTTGTGTTCCGAGACAAATGGTTATCATGAAAGATCAGCTATCCATCCCCGATGAAGCAGCTAAAGCTGGCCTGAAGTTACCCTTAGGTATCTTCTGTTTCTATGTATTTGGTATTGGTGGTTAACCTCTATATCTGGTTTTAAAGTTCAGACACCATTTCCCCTTAAGTATTACGAAATCTGCTCTCAACCGCTACGTTGTTAGATAAGAACAGCTGTATATTCATGGATACTAATGAACTTAACACATGAACTACAGAGGGAATTATTTCTAATTGTATGTTCTGTTGATTGTATACATGTTTTATTTCATCATTTCAGTTGCTAAACCGCTACTAGTGGATGGAAGTGCCAAGTCCCACGAGCTGTTTCTTTTGTATGATTGGTCCTCTCTGTCTAAACTCGAGCCTCCATTTGTTCTACAAGAGTTTGTGAACCATGGTATACTGTCACAGTGGATTTGTGAACCTCACCGTTTTCTCTGTAGCCATACTTTTACTAGTTATTCGGATATAATCTGTGTTTCTCTCATCACAGGCGGTATTCTTTTTAAAATCTACAATGTCGGGGATGCCATTAAGGTCGTAAGGAGGTACTCTCTTCCCAACGTCACCAAATGTCAGCTTGCAGATGTTCCCGGTATTTTTCCTTTTCCGAGGGTTTCATCGGCTGCTGCTTCTGCTGATGATGCGGATTTGGACCCTGACATTGCTGGTATGTGACTAGTATATGATATGCATGTATACGATTTCCATATGTGGAGCTCGAATTCAAATTTCATTCTTGTTGCAGAACTTCCTCCACTGCCTTTGCTGGAGAGACTTTCAAAGGAGCTCCGTCATCGGCTGGCAAGTTGTTTACTTCACGATATCAAGCTAGGCAGACGGAGTTGTATGATTTTAATCAGTGCATGTATTTAATTGTACTTTTACAGGGTCTTCGATTGTTCAATATAGATATGATCAGGGAGCATGGGACAAGAGACATCTTTTATGTAATTGACATTAATTACTTTCCTGGTAAGTAGATGGAGGATATTTTTGCAGCTTTTGGCTGGTTTTGCGACGGTTAATGTGATGCATTACGACTTTAATCACTTTTCTTTTCGTGCTCTTTCAGGGTACGGCAAAATACCAGATTATGAGGCCATTTTCACGGATTTTCTACTGACTTTCATGAAGAGCAAGTACAGGAAGAAGCTTTGTTAACAAGTATCGAAGGATACATTTATCATACAAGAAGTATCGACTCGAAGTGTGGCTCGGAGTATGAAGAACTGACAAAAAACCGAAAATAGTTTTTGACCTCCATAGATACTGACTGGTACGATTGCCCTTTGCTCAAGTCACTAATGTGTATGTATGGGTGCTTTTAGTTGCCATTAGATTTTTTGATATAAAGCAAATTACACAACAAATCAGTTCTCTTCCACAAGCTGCTGAATCATATGAAATGATTGGATTACAGGTTTCTTTTTATGGACAATCCAAGTGCTATGTACATTTCTTTATCTATGACAAATTCTATCGTAAACCCGAATTAGTGAAAGCTTTCGATGTGATCCCTTTAAGAAAGTTCCGATACGAGCTTGTTTTAGTAGTTTTGAGACATTACGAATCAACTTTGCACCATCATAAACTCTTCTATTAAAAAAGAATGAGATTTGTTCACAGGACGATTAACCTCTAATCTATGTTAGCATCTAATGACAGTGAAACATTCACACTAGAATTGCACAGCAGTGAAACCGTTACAAACACAAGATATAATTTGCCAATCATCATCATGGAGATGTAACCTGATTTCGGATTCTGCTTGAACGTCGGACTGGAGTAACTATCTCATCATCTCTTCCCCCCTTCAAAACGAAAAATATAACCAGAAAGTGTAAGAAACAGAATCTCATTTTTGGACAAGTTAACAAAGATAGCTATGATGTACTTACATGCTTGCTAGTTTTCTTCTCATACGTGGTAAAACTGCCATAGGAAGGTGAACCCGTCGAGTAATCCGATGAAGCAAGAGATTCTCTCCTGTAGGTCTTCCTAGCTTTCCTTTCTTGGCTCTGATATTGATTTGATTCCTTGCCTCCTTTGTTGCTGTAAGATGAAGAGGTCCTCTCAGAGCTATTCATTTCTGATGGGCATGGCTCATTCGATTCCTTGAGTCTGTTGCTGTAATATGATGAGCTCTTTGCGTAGCTACTCATCATTTCAGAGGGGCACGACTCATCAGCCATGTCTACTTCTGTCTGCCAATTCTTGGAGGATACTTTTTCGGTGATCGTATCCTTTGAGTCAACCGAAACTGGACTGCATTCGGATTTCTGGCACGGCATAGAAACATTTGGCCTGGAGGGCTTTTCTCTCTTTGCGTAGATGAAAGCTGAAGCTAGTAGTAATAGACACAACAGTAAAGCAAGACCCGTCACATTATTAATTGATTGTTCTTCCTGCCCATTAACTATATCTACAGCTTCAGAACTTTGAGAGTTGTCGGTGGAATCTTCGTTTTTGTGATCCTCATACTTCACTTCTTCGGGGAACAACGTTTCACCAATGTTGTTATAGCCAACTTTGGGATCTTCAGTTTTGAGATCCTCAGACTTCACTTCTTCAGGGAACAATGTTTCAACGATGTTGTTCAAGCCACCGTCAGGGTCCCTAGTTTCGGGTATATCATGTTGAATTTCAGTAGCCTGCGGCGAGATTATGCATTGCTGGTTTTTAGTCTCAACATTGCTCTGATGTTCAGCTTCCTGCCAACCTGCAAATTCAGCTTCTTTGCTTTCCTCTACCTCTAAATGATCCGATTCAATAACTTCATCCTCAATCCCTTGATGCACTGCATCAGGTTGTTCCGATACTAGTTCCGAGTTTTCAGAAGCTTCACTCTCTTGGTCTTCTTGTTCATCATCATCTTCATCTACTACCTCATCTGCTTCAATCTCTTGATAATGCTTGTCATCCAGTAGTTCGGTTCCAGCATCTCTCTCCCATATCGGCTCCGTTGAACCGGAGTCGAACATTAGTTGCCTCTCAACCATATGATCCTCCATCAACCGACTCAAATTAGCATACTGAATAGGATCCAGTTTGTGCATTTCTCTTGAACCGGAAACGATTTCTGAAACATAAGACAATAAGCTAGCTGACCTGTGCTGCAGATTCCGAGTGAATCGACCGAAGTACGCTTTCGCATATTCTGAAACTTCTTGCGGGACCTGATAGTTGCTTATTTCTTCTATTCCATGAGTAAAGGCTGGAGAATTAACCACTAGAACTGAAAAGCAAACAAAACTCAGAAACAGAAGCAAAGTAATGTACTTCGATCTGGTGGGAAAACGTGGCTTAGACATTCTTTTATCATTCAAACTCGGGTTTGGTTCGGATACATGAAGCTTCTCCTCGTCGTGTTCTTCTTCCATTGTTTCTTCTGAAGAAACATCCTCTGAGTCTCTTGGCGAACCTTCGGTTGGTGTTTCTGCAGTAACATCATTGTCTGAATAGCTTTCAGACGCAAAGAGTTCATCGAGCTGCATGCCTTCTCTTTCCCGAAGAAGCCCAATTCGAGGATTCGGTCTATAACGAAGAAACTGAGGCCTCGGAGAAAGGTAGTTGGTTTTAGGGTCATAAGGAACCATCAGTGGATCCACATTAACTGAATCCTTTTCTTCTGTAACGGTCTCCGGTACCAGATCAGAATCATTCTCAGTCTCCTTATAATCGAGATCTTCATCGCCTTTCAAAGGTTCCTCGTTTTCATGATGACTAATTTGTGAATCATGAGTCAAGTACGGTAGAGTTGAATCGTTGAAAGCAAATGTCACCTTCTGATTCAAACTAACCTCTGGGGTTGATTCAGTCCTTTCAACATCGGAGAACGTAACCATCTTCTGGTTGGAACCAATCTCCGGTTTCGAATCGGTATCGTCCATGATGACACTTTTAACATCGGAGAATGAGACCTTCTGGTTCAAACTAATGTCTGGGATTGATTCAGTGCCTTCAATGATTATGCTTTCAACATCAGAGAACGAAAACTTCTTCTGGTTCGGACCAATCTCCGGTTTTGACTCGGTATCTTCCATCATGACACTCTTAACATCGGAGAATGAGACCTTCTGGTTCAAACTGATCTCTGGGGTTGATTCAGTGCCTTCAATGATTATGCTTTCAACATCAGAGAACGAAACCTTCTTCTGTTTCGGACCAATCTCCGGTTTTGACTCGGTATCTACCATCATGACACTCTTAACATCAGAGAATGAGACTTTCTGGTTCAAACTGATCTCTTGGGTTAATTCAGTGCCTTCAATGATTATGCTTTCAACATCAGAGAACGATACCTTCTTCTGGTTAGGACCAATCTCCCGTTTCGACTTGGTATCTTCCATGATGACGCTTTTAACATCGGAGAATGATGCCTTTTTCTGCTGCAAAGCGATCTCTGGTGTTGACTCGTTATCTTCCATGATTAGGCCTTTCACATTGGACAATGAAACAGAAGATCGAACTGACTCATTTCTCTCTACCAAGATTTGCTTTCTTGGTGATGTGTTGATCTTCGAAGCTGCTGAGATCGTTGGCGACATGAAATTCTTCTTACACTTGGAAAGAGCAGGTGATTTGAGGCTGGTCGGTTTCGGATTCGAGCCTTGAGTGTTCTCCTTGCCATGATCAGGTAAAGAAGCTACACTTTCTCGGCTAGTGGAATGTCTTCGAGGAAAATCTGGAAGTTGATAAAAACAAACATAGCATCAGTACGTCAGAACCATAACTAGCACTGTTTCTTTTCCAGGAAAATCTCCATTGCAACTGCTCTAACTATGACTCTTCCTATTAGAACTCAGTTCAATTTGAATCAACTATCATGGTTCAAACTTCAAATGTGTATTTTCCAAACATGCAGGGGCCCTTTGGTTAGATGGGTGAAACTACATCCTCAATCCCTCCCAAAATCATAAAACTTTTAAGTCCTTGTAACCCTCCCAAAATCAAAATTTAAAATGGAAAATTGTCATTTTAGCCCCTTTTAAAAGTTAACAACTCAAGGCAAGTCTTTTCAACACCTTGGTTAAATGGAAAAATTACATATCTAGCCCCTCTCAAATTCAATCTAAACCCTTTTAACAAAAAGTTTTTAGCTTTGGCCCTACGATTTATAATTTTTTTCTTGTTTGCAACAAAAATTTATTCTTTACTGATTCTCGTAGCTGACGATTAATACTTCTAACAAAAATTCATAGCCAAACTTGAATTCCTGCAAAACCCAAACATAAACAGCCAACTAACGCATCGATTTATTTTTATTTCATACCCGAAATGTTTAGAACACTAACAAACACAGATAATTACTTCAAAGAAAACTCAAGAAAGAAAGCAAGAAACCAGAAAAGAAAACGGAACCTGAAGGACTATTAGCCGGAGTGGTCGGGTTAAATGCTCTGCGATTCGTGATAACGGACGGCTTCGCAAAAGGGTTTCCACTGAAACTCCTTCTTGTAGGATCGTTGAGTTCGGATTTTTTCAGATGAGAGTTCATTTTACACGATGACGGAGAAGAAGAAGAAGAAATCTTGGCCGGTGATGCCATTGTTAAAGTGAACGAGGTTTTGGGGGTCTTTACAAAGGAAAAAAAGTAACGGCTAGTTTCTATGTTTAAAAGAAAAGACTTTGGGATTTTGACCGTTGGGGATAGAGTCGTTGAACTGGACCCCACCTTTACTCTTGACTTTTTATTTAAATTTAACAAAAGTTAAAATAATAAAAAGAAATTCTGAGTTATTTATGTTTTTAAAATAAAAGTTTTTACCTTTAATTATTCACATAATGAGAAAATTATTTAAAAAAAACAAATCCATTACACCAACCATGTATATATTAATGTGGGACTCCAACGATGTGTAATTAATAATTTTATACGATGATACACGAATCAAAGAAATGATTGTTATTCTTAGAGATCACCTGTTTAAGAACCGTCACTTGCAACAAAGTAATTGAACATTCATTGTCAAATAGTTGAGAGTATTAGAATAGATATCCCTCAAATGACACCACAAGTTAGATGATCGAACATGTATACAGGTCTGGCTTGTTCGTTCTTCTCGGATGATACCGGGTCTAGACGTTCATATACGCTCGAGTAGTTTGAGACTGCAATGCTTTGTTCTTTCCGGTTAAGTGAGATTTTTCTCTCTTCCAACACAGAATTCCCCGATCAAAGATGCAACATCACCACTTCATACAGTTTCTATACTCTACAGATCTTCTCAAGTCCCAGCATCCAGACTCCGATCTTCTTTCTCGAATAGAGAACGAAAATCAGAAATAGGAAGCAGCGCGCATCATGCAATGCAAGTGCATGTATACTTGTTTTTTCGGTTTTTAAGCTACCTGAAGAAAATGTGTTTGAAAAAGGAAAATATCTAACTGGATACATCCTTATATAAAATATATTCGAATCGGAAAGAGGAAGTAACGCTCTACTATGTTTTCGGAACATCGGTATCATGCTGTTCATCACTTGGTTTATCTGTTACCGGAGGTTGAGGCGTGCTGTTTCCTGACAATGTAGCACCTTGGGACTCACCTTCTGTTGGTGCAGTTGCCGGTGCTCTGGGAGATGGTGATGAAGGGGGCTTAAGATCATCATACCTGAAATTGTTGGAGCACTACCATGAATGGGATGAAGAGAAGAAATGGTGATTTTGAAGTTGACTGCTTCGATAAGGAGAATCAGCCAAAGGGAAACCCCCAAATACAGTAGCAAGCTTACGCATAATTGGGTGAGAGATAGGTCGGCTTGGATGAATCCTTGTCACTGGTGCCAGTAGCCACAGCTGTCTTCGCACTGCTCCCTCCAGCGGGAGTTGAGATATTTTCTACTGGTGCAGAGGCACTGGAACTCACTTCTTTCAGCCCACTTGGTGTTGGACTAGGAGAGCTAGGTAACTTCATGTCGTCATAGCTATTAAAATCAAATCAGCTCTTATCTTTAACGTACTTGATATGAAGGCGATAACTCACCTACTATTAAATAGATTGGCTTACGTAGCATAGGGAGAGAGAGGCCTCGTTTCCGAAGCTTTTTCTTTAACAGCTCCTCCGTGGGGGTTGCTGGTATTTCTAGATATCAATATCATTCCTCTCTACTTCTTGTGATCTACTAAATTTGCAGGTATTTCTAGATGTGCTTACGGTGTAGGGAAGACCACTTGCGATGAGCGCTTCTTCTGCTTTCCTCTTCCAGACGAGGACCCCCCCCCCCCCAAAAAAAAAAAACTTAAACTCGAACAAAAAATGATAAAAGGACAAATTAAAACACTAAATCTTGGCACCAATCTATTTCAAATAAAGCATATATAAGGGCAATCTTTTATGCAAGTAAACCTTAAAAGAAGGGACTCACTTGAGAATAGCTGCAGGAAATCCAACTTTATTTGTTCCCAAAGATGAAACCAAAATAAAGTGGTTAACCTTTGCCACATTTGCTGCTCCGCCAGGGGAAAAAGAAGAAGATTCAGCTTAATATCAAGAATAGATGCAAACTCGCAGATATGCTAGCGGTTCTCCAGTTTGTTTACCTGCATCGATAAGATTCTTTGTGGCCTGGTAGTCGATGCGGTATGGCCCAGTAATATCGAAAACTTCCTTCTCACTGGCACAGATGCTGCATATGACCACTGCTGCATTGCCTATGGCTGGTACGATCCTATCTTGTTTCTCTAAGTCAACTTCCACAATTTCAGGCTTTTCTAAAGCTGGTCTAAAGAACAAAGATTATCTGTTACTAGCCATGAGAGCATTATTATCGAATTGCAATGTTCTAGAATTTTGCTATAATACTGTCCTATATGGTTTAAATAATAAATCTTAGTGTACGAAGAAACCGATGTTCCTAGGCTCTCTTTTCCTAACGTGTAGTTCCCTCGGCATCGAGCTTCATCTGCTTGACACTCTGCATACAAGTTTCTCTTCAATATAAGTATAACTTAGAAATCGAGACAATAAAAGATTAATACTTAAACAAGTACGTAGAACAGAAACCTGCACAAGACTTTCAGCTCTCTGAGCACTCCTAACTCCAGCTCTAACTCAGAAACAGAGTTTCAAAAGCTCCCTGAAGAGTCATGAGCTACGCACATTTTAGAAACCGCACATCCGGTCGTTCAAATTTCAAGTGAAGCCGACAGAGAGTGTTTAACCTGACTGTTCGAGAGCCTACCCTGCCAGTTGCACCAGCGACGAAAGCAAGATCCTCATCTTTTGAATCCGCTTTGTTCGAGATCGTTCCAGCTACCTCCGAGCTGCTTTTCGTTGTTCCTAGTGATAAAAACATTCGACAACGACCATAGGGAAACGATTACATGTTAGGGGGATGAGCATAACCATATCTGATTTACCAACTACGAATCAATCATAACGAACAAGCTTATATCCGAGAACTACTTAAGTTCATCACTGCATAAATCGCTTTATCGGCACACAATTCTACTCGAATCCGCCATTTTTCGATAAAAAAGACAGCAGAAAACATTCTATACACTTAATTGTTCACATATGTAATCATAGATCCTGTTCTCTAATCTGCATTGCTTACCTATGATTCAATTCAAACAGCTACACATTCATTGTCCAAATCTTACCAAAATTGCACAAGCATGAGCTTGAAATTGCCAGCAAAAATGTGAGATTTTGGAACTTTATTTACCCTGCAACTATGTGGTATCTACATCCGTACAGGTTCCGATAGCTTTGCCGGAAGATCCGTAGCTATTCCTTACCGGAAGCCTTTCTCCGTCAGATGCTCCGGCGATTCGCCTCCTGTTGCCGCGGAGCAGGATAACTTCGACGCGAAGTCTTTCCGGCGGAGCCTGACGAAGAGCCAGAATTATAATCGGAAAGGTTTCGGGCACAAGGAGGAAACTCTCGAGCTCACGAACAGATAGTACACTAGTTTGCTGTCATCGGCGGAACTTGTCTATAAGATGGTGGTTTTGAATGACAAAAATGTTCAAATTGTTGATACAACTTGTCCTTGGGTAACTAAGACACCTTCTGCCAAAACTGGTTTGCTGTCATCACAACTAATTCATGGTGATCTATGTTATCCGGACTCGTATCTCGAGTTCATACTTGCATTCGACACTTGTATGAATATTTCGACATTGAAATGTTATTTCTATGTAGGTATGGAATGTAGCAGATAAGCACAAGAGAGGGGACTACACTTCCATCACTCATGGTAAATATGCTCACGAGGAGACAATCGCAACTGCATCTTAAGCTTTAACACAATTAGTGATGCAACACAGGTAAGTTGAATGTTTTGTGATAGTTTGGTTATCATGTATTGTGATGTTTTCTTATGGAAGAATTTACACCATTAGCTAGTAGTCCTTGCGCCTCGACTGATTGCATACCGATTTTTGTGTTATCCATTTTTTAGGAGTGACAAGATGCAATGTATAAGTTGGTTGAAGAAGATCTGGATCTCATGTTAGTGGCTGGTGGGTGGAATTCAAGCAACACATCACACCTTCAGGAAATTTAGGAGGACCGTGGGATCCCTTCATATTGGATCGACAGTGAGCAGAGAATAGGTCCAGGAAACAGAATAGCTCACGAATTGAAAGTAAGTTCGAATGCAAAGGAATCAGTTCTTAATTAACTTGGACGTTTTTAAGCCTAGAAAAAGGTATTTTCATTTCTATTTCTTGGTCTAATTATGTGAATGTCGTGATGTCCAGCACGGAGTGCTGGTCGAGATAGAAATTGGCGTTACATCTGGTGCCTCCACACCAGATAAGGTAGTATATATCATGCTATTTATTGATCAAGGTGCTTATATCATGCAAACTGCGAAATAATAATATATATTGTCGATATCTGTATTAACCAGGTTGTGGAAGACGCCCTAATCAAGGTGATCGACATAAAACGCGAAGAAGCCTTGCAAGTAGCATCGGTATAGGGTTCACACAGGTGTGCATCACCCCACGATGGGGCCTCGTATAATCTGATAGCATGTAATCGATATTTAGGGGTCTATGTAAGGTCACAGTCTCGTATCCTTACTTGGGACAACAATAGTGTATCAAACTTCTGTAAATGTAGTTGCTGAATATATTTGGCATATAATTGCTGAATAGGATTGGTGTGTGTATATATATATATATAAATTGGTACATGTTAAACCAATAATAACGTATGACGTTTGTTATGAACAGAGAACATGTTAGAAAACATAAGTGTAAAAGAATGGTATTGGATTCTTTGTAAAATATACATTTCATTCAGTTTTTGCTCACACTGGCTGCACGAGTTGTGAATTTGGTGTTGTCCATGGCTAGGGCACATAACATCTCACTGGATTTTATGAAATCGAAATGGAACAATATCTTGATTTTACCCGAAACATCAAAACTGTAGCAAGGATGAATGCTCATTGTTGCCCATCCAATACCTCAAAAATTAGCCACCGATGCTATCAGGTTGCTTGGAAATGGAAGACTCGACTATCTCAGGAATCTGATCGAGCAAACGGTTCATCTCGTCTGGAAATTCGGCCTTGGCTCGATTCGTCTTTCCCCCAACTATTATTGTTGTCCCATCTTGCAATACCCATATCTTATATGCACAAAGAAGAAAGATACTGAATACATAAACACATGATGATTCCGATCATATTTAGATCAATGGTAATACACACACACACACACACATATACATGTATGTTTTTCATATTTCTTCACCTGTGCATGAGATAAGTAACTGATGCAAGTTGTGAGCATTAGAGCACCAAAACCAGCATACACTGTAGGGACCCCTGGATCAGTCTGAATAAAATAAGATTCAGTAGAAGATGAAAATTTCAGAAGATGTAATACACATATACATGGATAAAATAAGACCACTACTGCCAATTGCATCGACGATGACGATTTTTGTTCCGTCGATCTCTATAGGAAGCTTAGAGTTAGGTCGTCGCACTCCGGCAAATTTCCCTTGTTTATCGTATAGGACAATAGACTGCAGATCACGAGCGAGCATCGATCTGAAGTTCCAGTTGATCAAAAGAGCACAGATCAGGAAAAAGAATAGCAGAAAAGGGGAAGAAATGCAGCCATTGACCATAAAAGCATAATCAAATGCCTTCGGGCTTTGATTTGTTTAACTCAGTAAAGTAGAACTTGAAAGTATCAGAAAGGAGCTTTTCATATAACAAGTTTGCGAGTATGAAGACGAAGCTGAAAAAGATTTATACGTACATTCCCTTGACGTTAGGAGAATCGGTGTCCCCTACGGGTAGAAAGGTCCCGAAAAGCTTCTTGTCGCCATTGACCGTTAGAGGTGCCATTGCCAAATTGAATGGTCCTTCATCGTCCTTAAGTATCTGCAGTGCCGAAAAACTCCAATCTGTCTGGTATATGGTGATTCCACCGTACCTTAAGGGGTCATTTACACTAAGTGTTTTCCTCATTACTTCCTTCCCGTTGATATCGAGCAGTGATAGGTCGGTATGAAACTGTGAAACCTGCAACAATGGACACAAATTAAAAGAATAGATCGTTAAATAAAGTAACAATGAATAAAATTAAGCATAGTTAAGCGGGAAAAATGCTAGGAAGCTATTAACTAACAGGAAAAATTCCAAAAGCAGAAGGCATAACGATAATCTTAAGCTAGTTCGGATTACATGCTTTGTATTTATGCAAGATTCAGACGCTTCTAAATCTCAACTTTAATATGTTTCGTGTTCTGTGGCAACAAACTTTCTGTTGTGCCTTAAATACGTCAAGCTGGGGTCTGCTTCGGGGAAGTTGAAGGTAGTCGAGTTCTAGTATAGCGGGTTCGGGTTTGATGTTTGCGTATCTCAATGAAGAGCCTGTCTACTTTCTCTTCTACTAACGAAATGAAACTATATTGCCTTTCAAAATGAAAAGGCTCTACTTTATGCATCTTCAAACAGCAAAGAAAATGAACATTTTACCTCTCCGCTATCGTAGTAGTCCATGTAGAATCTGTTCACATGAACTTCGGTATTGAAAGCATTGGTAGGGGTGGAAAGAAACCCCATCGGACCGAGTACATCTCCCATAACGAAATTCAGTCCCTGCGGAACGGTGACAGACCCTCGGAAGCTCCCGGTTGCACTAAGAGTTGCACCAGCCATTATCAGCAGCATTGCTAAATGTACTCCGATCGGCGCAAATCGACCGGCCAGCCCCTTAAAAGCATACAACGACGGTCCTTTCAAGAAAACCTGCATTGATCAAACAATGTACATAGTGGCAACACAATTCAGATTCCTGCAATTAGATTTCTGCAATGATTATTGAAGGAAACATAAACCTCGTATCCAGCTCCCATGAGAATAGGCCAAATCTTTAACCGATGCTCGAGGAAGCGTATCCGAGAATTCCTGTTTTCGGATACCATCAGCCAATTGCAGAAAGCTCCATCTGCAAAAAATATGATTTCCCAAAGTATTAAACATTTCCAACACATTCAAGAACAAGACAAGAAGTCACTAAAAAAACATCAAACCTTCTTGCAACTTTAACAAGAGAGATCTGTGTTGTGTAAATACAGTCCATTAATGATGTACCAAGAAGAACCAAAGTTCCAAGGAAGATTGGAGATGAAAACATGTGATCAAATCCAAGGGCGAGAACCCATCTCCAAGTGAAGAACCCTAAAATTGGATTCTCGTCAGGGTACTTTTGGAAATAGTATTCCGGGGCTTCCCCTTGATCAATTGCAGTACCTAAACAAGAATTACAGTACCAAAACAGCCGATCAACACCAATTTATTAGCTTTAAAAAGATTTATGGCATCAAAATCACAACTTTTCTTTTACCGAGAGCCATAAGGACGGCAACGGTGAAAATTTCTCCAATGGCCAAAGGCAAGTTCTGTTGGGGAAAACGAGTTATTTCTCACACGAACGTAGTTTTAAAATTGACCTAAAATGTCAAGATTAAAACCACCAAAGGTTGCACAGCGGATAAATCTGTCAAATTATTGAATATTGAAACACAATAGAAAAGAATCGAATAAAAACAATAAAGGAGAGAACACACCAAATTTACGAGGTTCGACGAGAATATCGTTTACTTCTCGGGCACCACACCGGATGATAACTTCACTATATCGCCAATATTACAAGAGGAAGAGAGAACTTGTTTTTGGGATGATTTCTAATGGAAATACTTAGGCCTATTTATAGTTGAGTTTTAAGAAAAATATGTTCAAAGTTTGGACCTACCAAAGAATTTTCCAATGTGTACAAGTTAGCCATCAAATATGAAATTCACATGTTCAAAATTTGACCACCAACCAAGATGAAATTTTCAACTTGTCAACTTAATTTCTAGACAAATCTAACAAATCTCCACCTTGGCTTGAAATTACCAAGCCTACTCAACTTCTTCAACTCTCCAAATTTATAGTGCCCCTAATTGCGCTCACAACCGCCACACACCCGAAGGTGTTCATATTTTCAGGATGTTAATCAAGTTCAAACAATGATTGAACTTGATTACTGTTACCACCTTGGTCATCATATCTGCAGGATTTTCTGATGTCGCAATTTTCTGATGTCGCAATTTTCTGAAGTAGAATCTTTCCTTCTTCAAAGAGCTCCCGCACAAAGTGATACCTCACGTCGATATGCTTAGTCCTTGAATGATAGACTTGATTTTTCGCTAAATGAATAGCGCTCTGACTGTCACAATAGAGACTAATGTGACTTTGAACAACTCCCAAGTCTTCCATCAACCCGTTAAGCCAAATTGCTTCCTTTACAGCCCTCTGAAACTGCCATGTATTCTGCCTCTGTAGTAGACAAGGCCACCGTAGATTGCAATGTAGACTTCCAACTTACTGGGGCTTTAGCAAGAGTAAACAAATACCAGTCATTGATCGACGCTTATCCAAATCACCAACATAATCGGAATCAGCATATCCAACCACACACTGACAAAGTGTTTCATCATGTTCAAAAACTAAACCAACATCCACTGTTTGTTGGAGATACCGTAGAATCCATTTCACAGCTTGCCAATGACCTTCTTCAGGATCATGCATGTACCTGCTCACAACTCCAACTGCTTGTGAAATGTCAGGACGCGTACACACCATTGCATACATCAAGCTCCCAACTGCATTAGCATATGGAAATTTTGCCATATATACTCGTTCTTCGTTAGTTTTAGGAGATAATTGAGAACTAAGTTTCAAATGAGAAGCCAATAGGATACTTACATGTTTGGTATTTTCATTCATGCCCAAACATTGTAATACCTTTCTCAGATACTGCTTCTGTATTAAACAAAGCTTCCCTCTCTGTCTATCTCTGCTTATCTCCATACCAAGAATCTTCTTGGCCTCACCTACATCTTTCATCTCAAACTCTTGATTTAATTGAGCCTTTAATTTGTCTATCTCCTTTTGACTCTTCGAAGTGATCAACATATCGTCAACGTACAAGAGAAGATAAATGAAAGATCCATCTTTGAGCTTTTGCAAATACACACAATGATCATATTTGCTTCTAGTATACTTTTGCCTCCTCATAAAGCTATCAAATCGCTTGTACCACTGCCTCGGAGATTGCTTCAATCCATATAGTGATTTGTTCACCTTACAAACCCATTTCTCACAACCACCATCTTTGTATCCTTCTGGCTGAGTCATATAGATATCCTCATCTAAATCACCGTGCAAGAAAGCCGTCTTTACATCAAGTTCAGCTAGCTCCAAATTCAACTGTGCTATCAAGGCCAACAATATTCTAATGGAGGAATGCTTCACAACAGGGGAAAATATTTCATTATAGTCGATTCCCTCATTTTGAGCGTAACCTTTATCTACTAACCGTGTCTTGTAGCGAACATCTTTCTTGCTATGAGATCCATCTTTCTTTACAAATACCCACTTGCATCCAATGGCTCTTTTACCTTTCGGTAATTGTGTCAGTTTCCAAGTGTTGTTCTTTTGGAGAGATTGAATTTCTTTATCCATGGCACTTTTCCACTTATCACTTTCCAAGATTTGTATTGCTTCTTGGTAAGTGATAGGGATATCATCATCAACAACTGTAAGAGAATAGGCCACCATATCAACAAATCGAGCAGGTCTACGAATTTCTCTCCTTGGCCTTGTAACTGCAAGTGGTTTTGGTGTCTCCAATGGTTCTTGGGTTTGAACCTCTTCATCTTCTGATTCTTCTATTAAAGTTGAAGAATCAGCTGCATCAACTTCTGGGATCATCGTCTGCTGAAACTCCACCTGTTTTGTAGTATGCTCAGCTTCACTTGTTACCTTCTTTACTAGGGCAGATTCATCAAAGGTAACATCTCTGCTACAAATTATCTTCTTGGTGTCTAAACACCAAAGGCGGAATCCCTTCACTCAATGGGTGATTCCCATAAAGAGAGCCTTCTTTGCTCTCGGATCAAGCTTGGATTCCTTCACATGATAATAAGCAGTGGATCCAAATACATGTAAGGAATCATAATCAGTAGCAGGTTTTCCAGACCATACCTCCAATGGTGTTTTTCCTCCTATCGCTGATGACGACAGACGATTGATGAGATGGCCAGCATATGTCACAGCCTCAGCCCAAAATCCCTTGCCTAACCCAGTATTAGACAACATACATCAAACTTTCTCCAATAGTATTCGATTCATACGCTCTACCACACCATTCTGTTGTGGTGTATGCCTAACAGTGAAGTGTCGAGCAATACTATACTTATGGCAAACGTCAAAGAATGGGTCACTTTTATATTCCCCTCCATTGTCCGTCCTAAGACGTTTGATCTTGCTACCAGTCTAGTTCTCGATCATATTTTTCCATTTCAAGAAAATTTGAAGCACTTCATCTTTAGACTTCATCGGATACACCCAAACTCTTCTAGAAAAGTCATCTACAAAAGTTACAAAATAATGGTTTCCTCCCAAAGACGATGTCTTTGAAGGACCCCATACATCTGAGTGAATATAATCTACAATACCTTTTATATTATGTATAGTGGTGCCAAACTTCACTTTCTTCTGCTTTCCCAAAACACAATGCTCGCAAAAGTTCAATTTGCAAGCCTTTGCACCTTTCAACAATCATTTTTTTGCCAGAATTTGCAAGGATTTCTCTCCAGCGTGTCCCAACCGCATATGCCACAACTGGGTTGCGTCCAAATCATCACCTCCGGAAGCTGCTGCAACTGCTCCAATAATTGTACTACCTTGGTAGTAATACAAATTATTTTTCCTGATGCCCTTCATAATCACAAGTGTGCCATATGTGACTTTTAAAACTCCATCTCTCATAGTGACTACTGCCTTTGGATTCCAAGGCTCCCAACGAGATGAGATTTTTCTTCAAACTGGGCACGTATCGGACATCCGTCAGAACCCTGGTTGATCCATCTTGATTCTTCAATCGAATTGAACATATCCCAACAGTTTTACAAGCATTGTCATTGCCCATTTAAACAACTCCTGCATTTAGTTCCACTAAATCGGAGAACCACTCCCGATTAGGGGACATATAATAGATGCAACCCGAATCTAATATCCACTCATCGGAATAGAATGTTGTTGATGAAGCAACCAATGATATGTCAGAGTCATGTGCATCATGCTCTGCAACACATGTATCTGGAGCATATTTTCCTTTCTTCTTCAGCTTCGGACAATCTTTCTTCCAATGGCCTTTCTCATGACAAAAGGCACATTCATCTTTTCCCAGTCTCGACTTCGACTTTGATCTCCATCTCCACTTTGGCTTTTGATTTTTCGAGTGAACTCTTGCCACCATGGCCTCCGCTGCTTCGTACTTGCTCTCCTTCTTGGTTTTCTTCCTGAGTTCATAACTATACAAAGCAACAGTTACATCTTTAAGGGTAACATTATCCTTACCATGACGTAACGTTGTCTTAAGGTGCTCAAATTCATCTGGAAGAGATGACAAAAACATCAAAGCCAAATCTTCATCTTTGAAGGTTTCATCCATGCCCAATAAGTCTTCCACTAGCTCATTGAACGCAGTGATGTGTTCATTCATACTGGTGCCTGGTTGATAATCAAATCTGAACAATATTTTCTTCATGTGGAGACGATTCTGAGAGCTTTTCTTCAGGAATTTTTCCTCCAAAGCTTTCCACATCTTACTTGCAGAAGTCTCGTTCTTGTAGCCATACTTCTGCTCCCTGGAAAGACAAGATCAAATCGTGCTGCACGCCAAACGATTGATTGTTCCCCATTCTTTCTCCTCCATATATTCAGGTTTTTCTTCCTCAATGGCGATGTCTAGACCTTGTTGGAATAAAGCATCTAACACCTCGCCTTGCCACATGCCAAAATGACCGGATCCATCGAAACAACTCCACCGAAAAATTTGCATTTGACATCACCCTCCTCACCGGTCCAGATGAAGAGCTTGATGTCTCAACTGATTCGTATTTTGGCATTTTAATTCTAACGAATAATATTAAATATCATGAACTGTATCTTTTCAGCAACGGAACCACCAGGATAACCTCAACCGAAGCTCTGATACCAATTGTTGGGGAAAACGGGTTATTTCCCACACGAACGTAGTTTTAAAATTGACGTAAAATGTCAAGATTAAAACCACCAAAGGTTCCACAGCGAATAAACCTGTCAAACTATTGAATATTGAAACACAATGGAAAAGAACCGAATAAAAACAATAAAGGAAAAAACACACCAAATTTACGAGTTTCGATGAGAATGTCGTCTACTCCTCGGGCACCACATCGGATGATAACTTCACTATATCGCCAATATTACAACAAATGGAATTCTTTAGAATTCCCAAAGTGGGAGAATAAAGAATACAAGAGGAAGAGAGAACTTGTTTTTGGGATGATTTCTAATGGAAATACTTAGGCCTATTTATAGTTGAGTTTTAAGAACAATATGTTTAAAGTTTGGCCACCTACCAAAGAATTTTTCAATGTGTACAAGTTATCCACCAAATATGAAATTCATATGTTCAAAGTTTGGCCACCAACCAAGATGAAATTTCCAACTTATCAACTTAATTTCTAGACAAATCTAACAAGTTCGACAAAACAGCCAAAACTCTTTTGGGCAACTTTGTAATAACCCTCCAAGCTTTGCCACCAGTCTTGGGCTTCGTTTTGTCTTCTTCATTGCTCAGTTCCGGAGGAGAATCCGACAACATAATCTTCTTGGATGCATTGTTGTTCTTCCCACCTGGAGTGGTTTTCACTTTGCAAATTATGGTGACTGTGAGTGGTCTCCTGTTGAAGGAAACATTGGGTCGAGGATTAAAGGTAGAATAGAGAAGATAAGGTTTAAAGAGATGGGTTTTGGGTACAAAGAGTATTGGGGTTTTTGATGGGTTTAACAGAGTTTCCATTGAAGAACTTTTGGGAACGATAGTGTCTGTTTTTTTATAGGATGTGTTAGTTAAAATATGTTTTTTCCTTTTGGTCGTGTAATAACGATCGTCGCTGCTTGCTTATCCTAAGCGGTATGTTTTATAATTTTGGGTAAAGTACAAAACTAGTCACCCAACTATAGGATGTTTATTTCTTTAGTTCTCCGACTATCAAAAGCTACAAAATAATTCAACACTATAGGACGTTGCTTTGTTGAATCCCTCGATTATTAAAAGATATAAAATGGTCACTTGATTATTTATATTTTTTAAACTCGTCATTTTTCGTTAAAAATGTATGGTTGTATAAACTAGATCTTAACCTGTTGATTTGGATATGATAAAATTTGATCCCATAACCATTTGAGTTGTATAGTCGCTTGAAATTCTGGGATCAGATTTTATCATATCCCAATCAGCAGGTTAACGTTCAGCTCAGACAATCATACATTTTTAACGGAAAATGAAAAATTTGAAATATGAATAATTTAGTGACGATTTTATAATTTTTAACAATCGAGGATTCAACAAAGCACCGCCCCATAGTTGGTGGACTATTTTGTAATTGTTAATAGTCGAAAAACTCAACAAAGCAACATACTATAGTCGATGACCATTTGTGTTTTACTCTATTGAAATATGTACAATAACATATTAAAACCTCAATATTTATTCTTTTTTTAATTTAGCCCTAATGAAGAGCTAAATTTAGTCTTTAAACTATCAAAAGAAAATAAATTTAACAATCAAAAGTGATAGAATGATTATTTTAAATAAAAATACTTATTAAAACGATAATTTTTTAATGGTATTTACCCGATAATTTGTATATTATCTATGTGTACTCTATTAGACAAATTATCGGAAACATATTCCCGATTGTGTAGCAAAACCAATAATAAAAGTGTGAAGCTATAATAATTATATGGAAGAAAAGAACAATTCCTAAATAAATAAGAAAACATCATATATGACCAAAATAAAATTGTTGTCTTAAAGAAAACATTAACCTAAAACAAACACGTATGAGACCAGAAACGTTGGAAATCAATCAGTAAAATCGTTTTCATTATCGTCATCGTTGGCGTTCGTCATTTTTTGACAACCTTATCGGCATCGAAATGAAGGGTTGAGTGAAATTTTATGAGTTGTTGGGACGTTTTATGATCCTTTGAAGTACCACAGTCCTCGCTCTCCTAATGTCTCGGCTACAAATATCAGCTTGTTGCCCCAAATCCTCCACGTTCTTCATAAAATTCTCCAGTTTCTTCTTGATTTCGTCCACCCCGATTTTAACAGTTTCTTCTTGTATCGCGAAATCCGCGATTTTCAACATAGATTCGATCTCGATCTCGAGCCGATCGACGAGAACCCTAATGTTATCCAAGTCTTTAATGGCCACATAAGTTCCTACTTGCATCGAGCTAATCACATCTCTTTGTCCTTTCAAAGCATTTTCGTAGTTTTTCCATAGGGAATCGATCCATTTCCCCATCGAACCTAACGGGATCGAGGTTGCAGCTGCCATAATAGCTGCAACCGGTGGAGCAGCAATGGCTGCAGCCACGATCGAACAGATCAAAACCACGGCGAATGTGGCGACAAATATCAAACTAGATACCTTCCTCCATGCATGAATGTACTTAAGCTTCTTATTGAGCTTGTTCTTCCGAAGCTGTAATTTCTCAAACATTGTTATTTGTTGTCCATAAACGGATTGAAATACTCGAAAGAATTCCTCGGTGAACGGATCACCGGTCGCCTTGAAATTCTTTAACTCTTCCAATGTCCTAGCGTACTTAACTTCATCGTCACGACAGCCAGTTTCGTTTTCCTCGTAGAATTGTTGCAATGCGACGAGGATAAGCAACCGGCTATCGCGAGCGCGTTTTAAACACTTCTCCAACGACGAACAAAAATCGAGTGTCTTCAAGCTGTTCTCAAAGTATTCCTCGACAAGCTCGAACAATCCGAGGCTCTTCCATATGTCTTTCTTGCATTCCAAGATAACTCGGATGACCTCTTGGTTCATTTCCAAAAGGCATTCGGTCACCTCTAGATGCGAATCGAACGAAAGTGATCGGATCTCGTCGCTGACTGCGAGTACGTCGATGACATGATCCGTTCGAGCTCGGACGTTCGTGGTGTTATGTATGGCTCATAAAAAGTCTCGTTGTGGGGTTACGAATTATGTGGGTTGGGGGTGCGGGGGCGTAGCCCCCGCGGTACGGTACAGGGTTAATTTTGTAATTATGTACCAGGGTTTTCTATTATAAATAGAGATGTAACCTAGACCTAAATATCATTGAATAAAATTCTAGCGCCGCCTAGGCACCGAGGACGTAAGCACATTGCCGAACCTCGTAAAATTCTCGTGTTCTTTCGTTTTCTTTACCCGTTTTCGTCAACAATTGGTATCAGAGGTCAGGAGCAAAATTCGAAGTCGCGAAATTCGATGGTCAGGGTAACTTCGGATTATGGCAAACGAGGGTGAAGGATCTATTGGCGCAGCAAGGGATCTTGAAGGCTTTGCGACCTACAAAGCCGGCGTCGATGGATGAGGAAGATTGGGAAGAATTGCAGCAGCGAGCGGCAGGAACCATACGATTATGCTTGGCGGACGAGGTCATGTATCACGTCATGCATCTATCGTCTCCAGACGAAATTTGGAGGAAGTTGGAAAGTCAGTTTATGTCCAAATCCTTAACGACAAAACTGTATCTGAAGCAGCGGCTGTATGGGCTGAAGATGCAGGACGATCACGATTTGGCGCAACACGTGAATGTCTTCAATCAAATCGTTTCTGATCTGGCTCGGCTTGATGTGAAAATTGAGGATGAAGACAGAGCGATGATTCTGTTGTGTTCGTTGCCTTCCTCTTACGAACACATGGTGACTACTCTTACATATGGGAAAGAGACTATCAACGTTGAGGAGATTACTGCAGCCTTGTTGGCTCACAACCAGCGGAAGCAGAATGCAGGGGAAAGCTCTCAAGCCGATAGCTTATATGTCAAGGGTAATCGAGATCGTGGACGGAAGCCAGAGAAGGCAGGGTCCGGGAAGCGGAATTCCAGATCCAAATCCAGGGATAAGAAGACGATTCACTGTTACAAGTGCAAGGAGGCGGGACATATGAAGCGAGACTGTCCGAAGTTGAAAAAGCAGACGGATGAGAAGCGTGATGGCTCATCCAAGTCTGTGAACGTGTTCGAGGATGATACTTCTGATTGCAGTGAGGGTGATATGCTTTCTATTTCAACGACACAATTGACGGATGCTTGGATTCTTGATTCTGGATGTTCTTATCACATCACGCCAAATAGGGAATGGTTTTCGACATACAGGCCGGTTAATTCTGGTTCGGTTTATTTGGGTGATGATCGATGTTGCAATATTGTTGGTATTGGTGATGTCAGAATTAAGATGCACGATGGCTCCGTTCGGACGTTGAGTGGTGTTCGACATATCCCAGACTTGAAGAAGAATTTGATTTCCTTGGGCACTTTGCACAAGAATGGTTTTATCCCTAAGGCTGACGAGGATAGGGAAACCATTCGGATTGTTAAAGGAGCATTGACTGTGATGAAAGGCAAGATGACTGCAGGGAATATCTACAGATTGTTAGGGAGTACCGTTGCAGGTGGAGTTCACTCTGTTGAGTCCTGTGATGATACGACAAAATTGTGGCATATGCGTCTTGCTCATCTTAGTGAACGTGGTATGGCAGAATTACACAAGAGAAACTTGTTGCATGGTGTCAAAAGCTGTAAGCTCGATTTTTGCAAGTATTGTGTTCTTGGTAAACAGACTAAAGTCCGTTTCAAGACTGCGAAGCACACAACTCAAGGGATTCTTGATTATGTGCATTCTGATGTATGGGGGCCTTCCACGACATCGTCTTTGGGTGGATCTAGGTACTATGTTACTTTTATTGATGATTTTTCACGGAAAGTTTGGGTGTATTTTTTGAAACAGAAATCTGAAGTTTTTGAGAAGTTCAAGCTGTGGAAAGCTGAGGTAGAAAACCAAACAGGACGAAAAATCAAGTGTTTGCGGTCTGACAATGGTATGGAGTACACAGATTCACAGTTCCTACAATTCTGTAAGGAGCATGGGATTCAGAGGCATTTTACAGTGCGCAAGACACCACAACAGAATGGTGTTGCGGAACGAATGAACAGGTCGTTGAATGAAATAGCCAGATGTTTGCGGTTGAATGCGGGGCTTCCCAAACACTTCTGGGCTGAGGCTGTTAACATGGCGTGTTACCTTATCAACAGATCGCCAAGGGCATCGCTGGCTGGGAAAGTTGCAGAAGAGGTATGGACTGGTCATGATGTTAGTTTTGATAACTTACGGATTTTTGGTTGTCCTGCTTATGTGCATGTACCTGCTGATGAGAGATCCAAACTTGATGCAAAATCGAAGGAGTGCATTTTTCTGGGTTACAAGAAAGGTGTCAAAGGATTCAAGTTCTGGGATCCAGTTGCGAAGAAAGTTGTGATTAGTAGAGATGTCGTTTTTGATGAACAGTCTATGTTGCAGCAGAAGCAAGACACGACAGTGGTAGATTTCGAGCAGTTTCCAGTTGAGAAACCAGAAACTTCTCAACCGACTTCTGGTGGTTCCACTACGGATGATTTGCAGGATTATAGTCTCGCCAGAGACAGGGTGAGACGGACGAATATAAAGCCTCCGAACAGATTGGGTTTTGAAGACTTGGTATCTTTTGCACTTACTGTTAGCAGTGATGATCCAGTTACTTTTCATGATGCCGTTACTAGTCAGGAAAACGACAAGTGGATGGCAGCCATGGTTGAGGAGATGGAGTCTTTGAATCACAATCGCACATGGGAGTTAGTTCCCCTTCCTGAGGGTAAGAAGCCGATTGGTTGCAAATGGGTGTATAAGAAGAAACCAGCAGTAACAGAAAAAGGGGGAGAAGTTCAAGGCTCGTTTGGTAGCGAAGGGTTTTTCACAGCAGAAAGGAGTTGATTATGATGAAATCTTTTCTCCTGTGGTCAGGCACACTTCAATCCGAGCAGTACTTGCATTGGTGGCTAGTTGGGATTTGCATTTAGAGCAGATGGATGTTAAAACTGCTTTTTTGCATGGTGATTTAGAGGAGCAGATCTACATGCGGCAACTTGAAGGTTTCACTCAACCTGGAAACGAGCATTTAGTTTGCAGATTGAATAAATCTTTGTACGGGTTAAAACAGTCTCCGAGACAGTGGTATAAACGGTTTGACTCCTATATGATCAAGATTGGCTACAACCGATGTGAGTATGATTGTTGTGTCTATGTTAAGAGCCTTGATGATGGTTCTTTTATTTTTCTATTACTGTATGTTGATGATATGTTGATTGCTGCGAAGAACATAGATGATGTTATCGGTTTGAAAACTTTATTGAGTCAGGAATTTGATATGAAAGATTTAGGTGCTGCAAAGAAAATTCTTGGAATGGAAATTTACAGGGACAGAGACTCAAGGAAACTGCGGCTATCTCAACGGGGTTATGTTGAGAAAATGCTAGAAAGGTTTGCGATGAGCAGCGCGAAACCAGTTAGCACTCCATTGGCGAATCACTTTAAGCTCTCATCAGAACAGTGCCCTAAGACAGATAAGGAAGCTGAAAATATGGCAAAGGTTCTGTATTCTAATGCTGTTGGCTGCTTGATGTATGCGATGGTATGTACTCGTCCTGATTTAGCTCATGTTGTTAGTCAAGTTTGTAAGTACATGTCTAAACCTGGTAAGCAACATTGGGATGCAGTCAAGTGGATCTTTCGGTACTTAAAGGGTACTGTGGGACATGGAATTGTTTTTGGGAGTCAGCGGGATAATCCTTTGGTTGTAGGATATGTGGATTCAGATTATGCAGGTGACTTGGATAATAGAAGATCTACGACAGGGTATGTGTTTACTCTTGGTGGAGGGCCTATTTGCTGGAAGTCTACTGTTCAATCTGTCGTGGCACTATCTACAACTGAAGCTGAATACATGGCAGCGGCTGAAGCTGCAAAAGAAGCTTTATGGCTTACTGGTTTAGTGAAGGAGTTGGGTGTTCAACAAGGTGGAGTTCAGTTGCTTTGTGATAATCAAAGTGCTATTCACTTGGCTAAGAATCAGGTGTATCGTGCTAGAACTAAACATATTGATGTAAGGTTCCACAAGATCAGAGAGTTGGTTGCATCTGGAGAGGTTTTGTTTCAGAAAGTACATACTGATGAGAATGCCGCTGATATGTTCACCAAGCCAGTTACGACAGACAAGTTCAAGCATTGCTTGGACTTGTTGAATGTTTCGAGTTGTTAAAGAAGCAAGGTAACCCAACCCACATTAAAGTTTCCAAGGGGCATGATATTCGCCAAGGTGGAGATTTGTTATGTATGGCTCATAAAAAGTCTCGTTGTGGGGTTACGAATTATGTGGGTTGGGGGTGCGGGGGCTGCGCCCCCGCGGTACGGTACAGGGTTAATTTTGTAATTATGTATCAGGGTTTTCTATTATAAATAGAGATGTAACCTAGACCTAAATATCATTGAATAAAATTCTAGCGCCGCCTAGGCACCGAGGACGTAAGCACATTGCCGAACCTCGTAAAATTCTCGTGTTCTTTCGTTTTCTTTACCCGTTTTCGTCAACACGTGGCTCCGTGTCTAATCTGCCAGTAGCTTCATAGGAAGTTAATTCGGTCGTGCCATGCAAGCTACTGCTAACATTGATAGCCGATGAAGATGTTTCAATTGTCTTCTTGCTCGTATGATTTCCCATAGCTTTGTCGGGTCTTTTATGACAAAATAAACACTGCTTTAGCTTCTAGATCGGAACTAGGTCTCTACTTAACCAAACTAGACAAACCCAGAAAAAAAAACCAGAAACCCTAGAAACCCTAAACAGAAAACAAAGAAGATTTGTGTTGGAGAAGAAGAAAGCAATGAGTGATGGGAATATATGGTGAATGGATTGATGAATGAAGAATCTTAAACCATTTATAGGCAACTGAGAGAATAGCTTGCACGCATGAGAAAAACGAAAACTGGGGACATGGAAATCGCTAGAAGCAATGTTTTCTCTTTACAATTTTTCACGCGCAAAAGGTATAGTTCCCGAAGAAAATAAGAGAGCTTTGGCATGGTTAAAAGTCAATCTATGACGTGGTTTGTTGGATTTAAACTATGATTCGTGTTTTTATTTATGTTGTGTTTATCACGATAGTGAAATAACAAATGTTATTATATTAATTATAGGTATCATGATCATATAATATCATTATATAATGAATTCTAATTCGATAACGGACCGTTATTTATGTCCCTAATATCGGAGAAATCTTGAGAGTGCCGACTGACTAAAACTAAAACTAAACGTTATGTATGATTTTGAAAAAAAAAGAAAAGTTTAGGTACAGAAATGGACCAAAATTGATAATTTAAATACTAAATGTGTAGTTTACCCTAAAAATATTTATTTTTTAACACTAAATATATATGATTTATTGATTTTAGTTTAGGTAACAATATTTTTAATACATTTTATAAGAAGATATGAGATTTAATATGTTAAATGATTAATATTCTTTGATTTATGAATTTTTTAAATAATATATGTATTGCATATAAAAAAAGCCAAATATATATATATATATATAATATAAATATTTTTGTTTAGTGGTGCCAAATGATCCACATATCACATATGTTTAATAAAAACTCTATTGAGAATAACAAAAATGAAAAAGGTTCAATCGGAACATGAAAATAGGAGTGAATTTGTTATAATTATACTTCTAGATAAAGTAGATGAAATGTGGAGATTTTCGAACGAGGAAATATACCTAATGATTTTTTAAACTATATCAGCTGAGCATGCCATGTCATATTTCAAATTAACATCACATTATTTAACTAAATCCATATTTTGTTTGGGTATAACTATCGGTATTCAAACTATTGAATCTGGATCGTGTATTATATAAATTTATTATAAGGATGAATTTTTCAATTCATTTTGTTATGTTCATAACGTCAAGAGTCAAATTCTAAACCTTGTTTAAGAATTCTAATGTCTCGTCTCGTTAGACTTGTTGATTTTAAATTCAAGTTAATCACTTCTTGGATAAACTACGCATTCAATATCAAAATTATCGGTTTTGGTCCGTTTTAGTAGCTTAACTTTCAATCTTTTCAAAAATTAACGTTAAATTTTTAATGGGGTATTAAAATGAAACAAAAGCTAAAGTTTTTAATAGCGGCGTGCTAAAATGAAATAAAAACTAAACTTTAGGTACGGTTTTAAAAAAAACCTAAAAGTTCAGGTACTAAAACGGATCAAAACTGATAATTTAAGTACTAAACATGTAATTTACCTAACTTTTTCAACTATTACGTACTAATCATTTTATTGGTTCATCGAATCTATAGAGACTAAAAATGCTTTATCATTCTTTAATCTATGGTAGAAGTACAAAGCGAATATTGAATGGTGAGAAAGGTAAGGTTTTGGAAAAGTATCCACCCTATTGAGCCAAACCTGAAATTGCACATGCACATATGGGGTCCCCCCCCCCCTCCCCAAAGCTTAGGGTCGGTGCCCTATAAAGCTGGAGACACTCCAAAATAGTGGTGGCAAAGGACTACTCCTAGTCTCCTATCATGTCCATTGTTATCTTGGAACTTAATTTCGGGTCGGAAACAAGGGTCGAACAAATAGAAAAAACAAATATAAAACGATAAACTATATATGAAGTACCTAAACTATCAGTTTTTGTTTGTTTTAGTACCTAAACTTTTATTTTTTTTCAAAATCATACCTAACGTTAAATTTTTTTTTCATTTTAGTACCCGCCGTTAAAAACTTAACGTGTGATTTGCATGCGTGCCACATTCTTTATGGGTAAATTGCATCATTCATCACTCAACTATATTCTCACTCTTATTTTGGTTTCTAAAGTTTAGTTTTTTAAATTTAATTACTTAACTTTCTAATTACTCCTAATTTAATCACTCTAACTTTAAAATTTATTTTAATTTTTAATTTTATATTAATAAAATAATAAAAAAATATCATGTCACATAAATTATTGAAAAAATAAATTAGAGTGATTAAAATTATAGCAATTTGAAAGTTGAGTAGTTAAATTGAAAATTTTAAACTTTAATACCAAAATAGAAGTGCGAAGATAGTTGAGTGATGAATGATGTAATTTACCTATAAAAATGCATTGTCGTTAAGTTTTTAACGGCGAGATGCTAAAATGAAACAAAAACTAAATGTTGTATATGATTTTAAAAAATTAAAACTTTGAATAATAAATATGATCAAAATTGATAATTCAAGTAGTAAATGCATAATTTACCCTCTAGAAGTGAATCGAACGAAAGTGCTCGGATCTCGACGCCCGCGAGTACGTCGATGACATGATCCGTTCGAGCTCGGACGTTCGTGTCTAACGTTCGCAGCTCCGTGTATAATCTGCAAGTAGCTTCATAGGAAGTTAATTCGGTCGTGCCATGCAAGCTACTGCTAACATTGGTAGCCGATGACGATATTGTTTCAATTGTTTTCTTGCTCGTATGGTTTCCCATAGCTTTGTCGGGTCTTTTATGACAAAAAAAAACGCTGCTTTAACTTCTAGATCGGAACTAGGTCTCTACTTATCCAAACTAGACAAACCCAGAAGAAGAAGAAAAGGATTTTCGAACAGAATTTTCAACGTTTTTTCAGCGAAAAAAAAAACCAGAAAAGGAGAAAACCCTAGAAACCCTAAACAGAAAACAAAGAAGATTTGTGTTGGAGAAGAAGAAAGCAATGGGTGATGGGATTATATGGTGAATGGATTGATGAATGACGATTCTTAAACCGTTAAGAGGCAACTGAGAGAATAGCTTGCACGCATGAGAAAAACGAAAACTGGGGACATGGAAATCGCTAGAAGCAATGTTTTCTCTTTACAGTTTTTAACGCGCAAAAGGTATAGTTCCCGAAGAAAATAAGAGAGCTTTGGCATGGTTAAAAGTCAATCTATGGCGTGGTTTGTTGGATTTAAACTATGATTCGTGTTTTTATTTATGTTGTGTTTATCACGATAGTGAAATAACAAATGTTATTATATTAATTATAGGTATCATGATCATATAATATCATTATATAATGAATTCTAATTCGATAACGGACCGTTATTTATGTCCCTAATATCGGAGAAATCTTGCGAGTGCCGACTGACTGAATCTTGTGCTCCAAGCTTGAAGGTGACATTTCTCAGAATTTTGTTAACAGAAGGTGGTTAAACCTTTGATTTTTGGGGTCAAATTACCACTACTTACTTTTATTTGTCGCTTCACTTCCTTCTTTACCAAGAGACCTAAATTAATCTATTAGTAAATTTTAACTTAAGGGTTAAGTGCATAAATCATTCCGATTATAGGGTAATATTTTATTAAGTTCATCGGCTATTAAAAATTATAAAATAATCCTTTAACTATAGAGTGTTATTTTATTGAACTCTTCAGTTATTAAAAGTTATAAGAGTCTCCACATCTTTTGGGACATGCATTATAACACCACGTGTATTCTATATATAAATATGATATATCTAAAATCATTCTTATAAAAAAAACCAAGTTTTCTAACATATGAACCACAATTTTCTTCTCCATGGAAATTGCAATTGACAATTCATTCGTAGTGGAAGTTAAAGGTGTGTTGTCTAAGTTTGTCCGAATCGACGGTTGGACGAGTATGATTTTCTTTATTGTTGGTGACGGGTTGATGATGGATAAATGTCATCAACAACAATTAGGGTAAATTACGAATTTAATACCTAAACTATCAGTTTCAGTCTATTTTAATATCTAAATTTTTTATTTTTTTTCAAAATTATATCTAAAGTTTGATTTTTATTTCATTTTAGTACCCTCGTTTAAAACTTAATGCTAAATTTTTGGGAAAAATAAAAGTTTAGGTACTAAAACGAGCCAAAAATGATAGTTTAGATACTAAATTCATTAAGTTTTTAACGTCAAGGTATTAAAATGAAACTAAAACAAAATGTTATGTATGATTTTGAAAAAAATAAAAGTTTAGGTACAAAAATGGACCAAAATTGATAATTTAAATACTAAATGTGTAGTTTACCCTAAAAAATATTTACCTTTTAACACTAAATATATATGATTTATTGATTTTAGTTTAGGTAACAATATTTTTAATACATTGTATAAGTATATATGAGATTTAATATGTTTAAATGATTAATATTCTTTGATTTATGGATTTTTTAAATAATATATGTATTGCATATAAAAAAGCCAAATATATATATATATATATATATAATATAAATATTTTTGTTTAGTGGTGCCAAATGATCCACATATCACATATGTTTAATAAAACCTCTATTGAGAATAACAAAAATGAAAAAGGTTCAATCGGAACATGAAAATAAGAGTGAATTTGTTATAATTATTCTTCTAGATAAAGTAGATGAAGTGTGGAGATTTTCGAACGAGGAAATATACCTAATGATTTTTTAAACTATATCAGCTGAGCATGCCATGTCATATTAATGAGTGTTCAGAATCGTTAATCTTTGTTCGTTATTTCTTCGATTTTGTGGAGTTATTGTTGCTGATTTAGTTGTGTTATGTATATTTTCGTGCAGGTCCTTACTTTCCAGAATTAGTGATAAAACGGGCGAATTCTGCATTTTTTTATTATTTGGTCACGGCTGGAGACATGGGCACTACGCGATTTGACATGACAGTTTCTAGAAGGTCCAGTCAGCGGCGGTTTCTAGAAGACTTCATCTGCACGCCTTCTGGAAGATTAACGAGTAGAATGGCATTAGGAGACTAGTTTAAGTTTGAATTTAAATTTTAAAAAAAATTATCTTTTGTATTATTTAATTATTTTCTTTGTTTATCCTTTAGACTTTGAGAGGCTATAAATACCCACTTGGGATAAGCCTAAACTCATTATTCAGAATACATTCTTCTTTTCTCTCTAGTTTTTATAAAAGTTTTGTCTTTTTCCTTTTCAAGTTCTTTTATTTTTCTTTATTTTCAAACTTGTTTTTAATATGCTAAGTATGACTTTTGTCATGCTTAGCTAAACTTTTCATAAGCCGAGAGCTGTCGCGATGACTCAATTCCGACGGGAGAATTGAAACAGGTCCCTAATATCTTCGGAAATCTCTCTCAATCTCTGTGCTTATTCTTTTTCAAAATCAAAACAGTTTTTAAAATCAAAGATTGGCTTTGGTCAAGAGGTTGTTGCGATTAAATGTGTGGGAGGAAGATTTGACTTATAGAAAGCAATTCGACTTCCTGGGAACACACTTGGCGATATATCTTTGCCAAGAGGGATTTGAGATCGGAATTGACGGTTATAGAAGCAACAATCCGAGTCGGTCGCTACGAACTTAAACAATAATTGGTCTACGACAATAGATGTTGATAGAATCAATTCCCGAAGCCGGAATCAAAGATTGTCTTGGGTATTCGGTATACAAGATAGAGTCACGGAGATAGCCTTCGTAGAAAAAGTAACCGACGTGAATCCCGAAGAGAAAATCTTATTCGATGATCTAAAGGAAATTGAGTCAAAGCAAGGCTTGAGGTTATTTTTACCGTATTTATTTACAACCTTTATTCTCTTATTTTTTTACTTTAATTGATTTTATTTATTTAATCATTTTTATTACTACTTAAATCTCATTCTACCAAACCCCCCCCATTTTACTATCTTTCACGTCTGACATAGACCAATCAAACATAAATTAAGAATTTTCCAAGTCCCTGTGGATTCGACCTACTTCTAACGCTACGAATTTTCCTTTATTTATTATCCGAGAAGAAGGAAAATATTTTGACATCGAAACGACAGTTGTCAAATTGGCGCCTTTGCCGGGGACTTCGCCAAAGTTACTAATTTTTGTTTGTTTCTGATTTATGACCAAGACTAATCCGGGCACATTAGTGGAGTACAACCCGGAGATTGAAGCTAAAGCTAGGAGACTCCACGCACAGACACTTCCGGAAAGAATGAGACAACAAACGAATCCAGAAGAAGAATCAAATTCAGTTAATACAATTCCGATGGCCGAACCTACTATTCGGGAGTTAGCCGCGGCACCCACTGAACAAGGACCTATGTGCATTGATTTTCCCCAAGGCGAAACTCCATACCAGTTGAAAACCGACCTTATTCATCTCCTCCCTACATTCCGTGGATTGCCAAACGAGGATCCACACAAACATCTCAAGGAATTTCACATGGTATGCTCCAGCATGACACCACAGGGAGTAACCGATGACCAAATCAAACTTAGAGCTTTTCCTTTTTCCTTAGCTGGTTCGGCTAAGGAATGGTTATTTTATAGTCCTCCTAATTCTATTATTACATGAGCTCAAATGACTCGTCTTTTTCTTGACAGGTTTCTCTCTGCGGCAAAAGTAAGTGAACTACGAAGAAGAATACTCAGAATCAAACAGCTTGATGGAGAGTCACTTTACGACTACTGGGAGCGGTTTAAGAAGTTATGTTCTAGTTGCCCGCAACATTGGTTAACCGAACAAACACTCCTTTAATACTTTTACGAAGGACTATCTCCACTGGAAATGAAGATGATCGATGCAGCCAGCGGTGGAGCCTTGGTGAATATGACTCCTACAGAAGCTAGGGACTTAATATCTACGATGGCCACAAATTCCCAACAATTTCGCACAAACAATGAACCTTCTCGAAGGGTTCATGAGATAAGTTCATCTTATTTAGAAAATAAAATTGACAAGTTAACTGAAGTCGTAAACTCTCTTGTTGCAAGAAAGACATGACAAAACCGATTATGTGGAATATGTACATTACCTGATTATCAAACAGACGGTTGTTCACTGATTCAAGATGACGCAGCAGCTCAAGTCAACGCAGTCGGGAATTTCCCGTGATCTCCCCAAATAGCTTATAATCCTTACGAAAATACATACAAACCAGGATGGAGGGATCATCCAAACTTCAGTTATGCCCAGAACCCGAGACCGAATCAAGGCTATCAAGCGAGACCTCCACCACCGCAACAACCGTAGAAGTCATCATTAGAATCGATTGTCGAGAGGTTAGCACTATCCCAGGAAAAATTCTAGACTCGAACTGAGATGGACAAATAGATAAGCAAATTAACTCAAGCCGTGGGGAGATTAGAGTCACAAAGGAGGCTACCATCACAAACTGAACCGAATCCAATAGAGAATGTTAGCGCCATCACCCTCCGAAGTGGTATAATTGTTGAACAACCAGACCCAAAGAAGGTAAGTTCAAGATCCTGGAAGAAATAAGAAGATTTGAACTCCTAGAGGGAAGAAGAAGCTGATGATGCAGGATCCTAGAAAGAGAATGATAAAGAGCAAATAGACGACCCGACGCCATCCCCTATGACGTGCCACCGCCTTTTCTATTGAGGTTAGTTAAAAAGGATAAAAAGACTAAGGAAAAGGAAATATTAGACATACTTCGGAAGGTGGAAGTTAACATACCTCTCCACGAGGTTATCCGAAAAGTTCCAAGGTATTGCCGATTTTTTAAGGAT